GCCCCTGAGGTAGCTACATTCATCCCTACAGTCACTTATTATTGGTGAACTTCTGCTCAGGTTAAATCACCAGCCAAAAGAACAGCTTAGGTCGTCAAGGCATCTTGATTTATCAAAACTCAAGGACCCAGAGCTTTGCAGGCCACAGTCCCCTTGGTAACCACTGATGTCAGCTCTATGCTTCCATGTGCTCACTCTGAAATAGGCAGGATGCAGGGGCGTGAGATGAAAACCACTCAGACAAGTCACTGTGCCCACACCTTGCCCACATGTAGGCAAGACTTTCCAACCGTGTGACTCAGAATCCCACTGAAGAAAATCACCAGGTCCCGTACTTGCTGCCCTGTGACCCCACCTGGCCCTGCCTGACACGGCAGCCAGCTATAACAGAGGTTTGATCCCCACAGCTCAAGGGCATGCAGAAGGGAGGGTAGACTATAATTAGGCCAACCTTACTGCCATTTCCCTCTTCACTCCAGACATTTATCTCACTTATTTCCTTCGAGCTGGGCAAGTGCTACAGCATTTCACAAGGAACTTCAGACACTGGGGGAGAGGGGCAGGGTCTCTCACCACCTTGGGTCTGCCCTAAGCCAAGCCAGGGATAGCTGCCTCCAGGTTCTTCACGCACAGGCCTCCTCCTCTTACTGGTGACTTCTCACCAGGTGTTCTTAACGTGAGGACTGACCCTCTCAATTCCCCTCCCCCTATCACTTGTCATATCTCTTTCCAGACCAGAAAAAAATGAAAAGGTTCTTTAAAAGATTCCCGTTTATAGCAAGCTGGAGGACAGGTCAGATGCAAGGACATATGGGAGTTGGTTGTAAAAAAAAAAAAAAAAGAAAGAAAGAAAGAAAGAAAGAAAGAAAGAAAGAAAGAAAGCAAGCAGCAGTCAGGATGGAATGATGCCGTCCTCCGTTAGGATGTGTCCAGTGGATGCCTCTGCAGGCTCATCTCTGTCCAACCACACAGAAGACCCCATCACCCAACGTAACTGTTACCAAGTGGGGTGTATGGCAGCCGATGCCCTGTCACCCTGGAAGTCTAGCATCTAAAGTGAAGGTAAATTAAAAGCCATTTGAGACTCATCTAGAATTGGCTGGCTTCTTTGAATGCTTCTCACAAAGACTGTGGCTATCGGAAATATTTCCAGTGGCGGACAAGATTCACTTGGGTAAAAACCATGTGCCCTTGATTTCTTATGCGCTGTACGATGGAAAACTATGCAAGCCTTCAGAAACTCTTCACTTGAATAATGCTGATATTATGCCCCAGCTCACAGACTTCTTGGAAGATGAAATTAGTCCCGAAATATGAGTTCTGACCTATTATAAAAGCCATGCTAAAATTATTATTATTATTATTATTATTATTATTATTATTATTATGCATCCACACAGTGCATTTTGTTATGCCAGATGCCACTCCGAAATTGCAGCCTGGAAACAGTTGCAACCTGTGCCTATTGTGCAGCTATGGAGGCCAGTATCAGACAGCTCCAACTGATGGAGTCCAGGTATGAACGACAGAGATCTTCCCCTGTAGGTAGATCTGTCCTTCAACCCCTTGTCCTGTTCCCTTTGCATAAAGCACTTACTTAAGGGTGTTTACTTAAAACGCAGTGCTGGGAGTTGGTAGCATGCCTATGATCCGATTCCAGCAGAGGAGGTGAAGGGATGTGTGTCTGGAGCCCAAGGCCAGCCTGAGATCCCAAACTAAAGAAAAATAACTATACTGGAGGTCACTACATATTTTGTGTCATTTCCCTCTGTGTCGCATCAGCTTTAAATCCTACAAACTGAGAAAAGTTGTTCCTGTAAATCACTGTTTTCTTCCTCCACTGTTTCTAGCCACAGTGTCCAGCCCTTAATAGATCTTGCTCCAAATATCCAAAATGGCAAAGGGGGAGATCCAGCCCCCCAAGCTCTGTAGCTAAGGAGTGGGGCTTTGGCTTCCTGCTAGATAAACACACTTAAGGTAGGACCAATTAGGAGATTAACATATTAAAGCCATCTTGTCACAGATGGCAGGCAGAGCGAACTCCCTGTTCCAGGGAGAATGTAAATTTCAAACAACTCGGTAGATCGGGAGTGCTCCTTCCTGAGGGATAGATAATGTTGTGGACTGTTATTACCCACTGAACCACCTCCAAGGGACTCCTCTGGCAGAGAGTTCTACAAAGCCGGTAGACACAGAGACAGGCCTTGTAGAACCTCCCAACCTTCACCGAGACTAGCTAGAAAACTCAAAAGACCTGTGGGGTGGGTGGTTAGTAAGTTCCCTGCCACGCTCCAGCGCACAACTCCCGAAGGCACTCTAGTACAGATGCAGGCACCAAGTCTGTGTCGCAGAAACAAACATTCTAGGCTCACAGGGAGGGAGGGACGGCCAGAAAGAGAGCACCAACACCCACCCAGCTGCCGTTTTAGCGAAGGAATTCGATTCGTGGTTGGCCTTAGGTCTGGGGGGGGGGGCGGGTGAGCGAAGACCCCGCGTGAGGGGCCGGGAGAGGGCTCTGAGGAAGTTTCAGGGAAGGAAAAAATGATGGAAGCGGTGAAGCTTTAGAAACCCCCGAGCTCGCCTCTCCGCAACTCTTCCCGAAGATACCCAACGCGACCAACTCCGACCCTCCCACCCCCACTTCGCTGCGCCTTAAATTGTTTTCCCACGTTGCAACTAAACAGATTTCCTTGCTAGGCCTCAACGGATGGCACTAGGGTACGAAATACAACATGGCCGGTCTACATCGCCATCACTTTATTGTATTGTCACCGTTAACTTAACTATAAATACTACGGTGGGGAACTCGACTCACGCAGGCAGCCCAGGACGGCGGGGCTGAGGTTCTCCCACGCCCATCCCCGGCGGTTCTGGGCCTGTACAATATTTACAGCTAGCTCCTCGTTGCTTTCTCGACCCCCTCCCGCAAGGCAGGGAGTGTGCAAGTAGCATCATCTGTCTGTGCAAGTCCTTGCGGCAGGCAAGCGCCCCGGCCGGCCCGCGGCCGTCAGCTGTCGGAGTCCAAATCGCTTTTACCTTCCTCTTCCCTCTTCTCGGGCGAGGCTTTCGAGGACGCCTTGTTCCACTTCTCGGCGTTTTCTGACTCCTCCGAAGAGGACCGCTTCTGTCGTCTCCATTTGGCTCGGCGGTTCTTAAACCAGACCTGTTGCGCAAGGGAGCAACAAAACGGTGGTGACCAAAATGCCACTGTCCACCAACGCCAGGGCATCCGGGTGGCCCCGCGTGGCCAGAGGGCAGCCTGGCCGTGGAATCTCAGCCTGGTCGCGTGAAATTGCCAGCAATCGATGCTCCCAGGGCCAACAAAAGGAGGGGGAACACCCGCAGTGCTTCCGCATTTCCTCTCCACTTCCTGGGCCTAAAGCTCCTGCCAGCAGCCTCCAGGCCGCGGCCTCTGGGATGCTCTTAGAGTGGCCGCAGCCCCACGGAGGACCGAGCAAACCCCCGCGTGCAGGGCAAAACCGCTAGCCGCTCCCATCCCCCACTGGGCCTACCTCCACCTTCTCCTCCCGGAGGTGCACCTTCCGGGCCAGCTGCTCCCGAGTGCCCACGTCTGGGTACTTCGTCTCCTGGAAGAGGTTCTCCAGAGCTTCGAGCTGCTCGTCGGTGAAGATGGTGCGGTGCCGCCGCTTCCGCCGACAGTGCAGCTGGTTGAGCAGCTGCAGCTCAGTGCGCGACAGCGTGCCCACGTTCATGTAGGGCAACATCTGGTGCGGCACCGGGGACACCAGCACCGAGCCGGGGCCCTCGTAGCCTGTGACAGAGGGAAGGACGCTGGTCAGTCATGCTCCCTTCGCACCGGACGCCAACCCGCTCCCTGACCTCAATCCCTTAAAATTAGAAAAGGTCTTGCAACCGGCGCTAGGTCTTTGGGGGAGCGCAGAAACCAGGGATGCTCGGACGTAGAAGGAGCGTCCTCCCACACACATCCAAAGCCAGTTCAGGCACTTTAGAGTCGTAGTCTCCCGGCGCCCTCACTTAATTTCCGAGCCCGCGCGTGGAATCTCCATGAGACTCCATCCAGGTGGCTCAGTTTAACTCTAACCCAAAGTCTGTAGCAGACATGTGCAAAGTACCTTACCCGGTGACCAAAAAAACAGTAATAAGTAAACGGTAGAGAGGGGAAAGCTTGCAAAGGGAGAAAGTTGGTGCCAGGTGAATAAAGCAAGCAGCACCGCGCGTCCATGCCCGGCAGCCACCGACTGCCACTGTGGGGAAGGCCCACACGCGATCGCGACCCTACCTGGGGGCGTCGGGACGCAGGAGCACTGCTGGGCGCCCAGTGGTGGCACAGCCCCGCAGCAGGCCGGGCCCACGGGCGCCGCCTGCACGTGGAGCTGCCCGTAGAAGTAGCTGTTGTAGCCTAGGCGGGAGCCGCCAACCGTGGTCGGCAGGCCCGCGCCTCCAGGAGCCACAGGACGCGGGTAGAAGGCGCCGTAGTCCGAGGAGGTGCCACCGCCCGCGCCATAGAGCGGATCCCCATGCAGAGCCGGGAAGACCACCGGAGCCGCGGCGCTCGGCGCCACCGGGAGCACCGCGTCCTTGCAGCGCGGCCGGGTGGCCAGGATGTTGTCGATGCTGAACATGCTGGCGGGCATCCCCGAGCCCCGCGCCGGGACCGGGGGGCGGCGGGGACGCGCCGAAGAAGGAGAAGTCTCCAAGTGGTGTTGTTTGGGGTGGGGGTTGGGGGTTGTCCCACTCTCTCCTGCCGCGGACGAGCAAACCGAAAGAGAGCGCGGGCGAGCGCGCAACTTGCGCCCCTCCCCGCCCCCTGCGTCCGCGCTCCCTCCTCCCGTCTTCTCCTCCCCTAGCTGCCGCCTAGCTGAACTCAACCCGCGGGTAGGACACAGCTTCGACCGGCTCAACCTCTTGTTGGTTTTATACTGAGTCGACGTCATCCTGGATTTAGTTCCTGGTAATATGCAGATGACAAACAGAACCAGATTTGGTCCTTTGCTTTTCCTTTGGGTGGTGTGGAATGGGGGGGCGCTTGCAGGGGAGGGGGAAAGCGATGCCAAGAGGAGGGGGGCTACAGAGCCTGAAAAAGAGATTGTGGATTGAGAATTAATGAAATTAACCTAATCTTTTCCATTCGGCAGCCCCGGCGCGGCCCCGGCCTAGCTGGGCGGGCAGCCTAATTGCCCAGGTTAATCTTATTAATACTATTGTCCCGCCGCCGTTAACAGCTCCACCAGCGACCTCTGTGCCCCGACCCTTTTCTCTCTATTATGGGGTGCGATTTCCTCTGCTTGTAGCTCAAATTCATTGTAGCCAATTTTACTTTAGGACTACTTTTTACTCTCTTTCGAAATTTGTTTGCCTTTAGGAAATGAGGGTGTCTGTGTCCTTCCTTAAGACTGAAATTCCACCGCCCGTCTCGCCGCCAACCCCACACCCCCCGTGAACTCTCTGCCTAACATCCCTTGCTCTTTTCCGTCTCATCAAAATCTTTCGTTTTTGCGAAAGCCAAATTTTCTCAGAGCAAAAACGACGAAAGAAGAAACGCGTCGGTCTCCGTAAAAGTTGTCTCTCTTTTTTTTTTTCTCCCCTCTCCCCCAGTCACTCTGGGTCTAAAAACTACCCTGATCCTCCCTAGCTCCTAACACATCAGTTGAAGACCACATTCAACCACTATTTAAAATTCGCTGCCGAAAGGAGCTCTCTGAAGCGATGTTTCCAGAGGTTTCCCGCGTGGGTGCCGGTAGGTTCTGTACCTTTTTGATTATTATTCTGGAAAACGGGGTGTGTTCCCCAAAATGGTTTGGGAGCTTTAATTCAGACGGATTCTACGGGGACTGACAGTCTCCTTCCTCAGCACACTAAGTAGCATTTCCCCTCTTCAAACAGCTAGCTCTCGGAAAGGCCTCTAGTCCTTCCAGGCCCACGCTGGCCTCCGTGGGACCCCAGCGGCCTGGACGAAAGTCGGACCACTGCGGGTGGCAGATATGATATGCGGGATTCTCCGAGAGGCACCGCCAGGCCTCGGGAGGCGCAGACAGACAGATCTGGGCGCAGGAAGCTGGGCGACCTTCAGGAAGGTAGGCGACCATCGGCACAGAACGAAAGCAGAGGCCCGAAGCCGCGTGTTGCGGGTGCCTGCCCCGGAATTGCTGAGTCGTCCATCGACGCGGCTTCGCGTGGGAGCCACTCTCCAACTCTCCAGCCAAGGCCGGAGTGGAGGACCGCCTGCAGGGTCTACCCATTTTGTGGAGATTTCTCTCCCTCTGTCACTGATAAGCCAGGGATGGCTTCAAAGCTGTCTAAAATCGAACAATAAATGCTAAGTGCCCCCCCTGGCACTGGTAGAGACCACCGCCCCCCCCCCCCCGTCTTGTAAATTGTTTTTCCTGAGTTAGAGAACCTTAGCGGTAAATTTGGTCCAGCCTGGACGCAGAACTCAGGCTGTGCGTGGGAGCAGCCACCCAGAGCTAGGAGAGTGCGCTTCGCCTCCTAGGCCTCCGCGCGTGGACCTCGGTGCCCTTCAGCCCACACGCGCATGGCCTGGGACACTTGGCTCTTTGCTTACTTTTGCAAACTGGAGGTGGTGGTAGGGAGTTACAGGACTAGATAGAAGCCGGCTTCAATGGTGGGGGTTTGTTTTTGTTTTTAAGAGAAACAATAAAGTCTCTCAGGAGTGTGACTCTCCTTCGGAAAGGCCAAGCCTACCTAGAAAAGTAAACTTTCCACTTACAGTGACTTTACAGTCACCAGGTTCCAGGACGCACAGGCTGCTCGCTCATCAGCCTTCCCACGTTCCATTCTAAAGTGGGATAAAACTGATGGGCAAGAACGCGAGGCTGCAGTTTCTGCGGTGACTTCGCTGCTTTGTGTTGGTGATTGCGAGGGGGTAAGGCGCGTGCGCGGGCGGCCCTCTAAGGACCTTCACAGGGGTGCCAGGCAGAGACAGGGGGGGCATAGAACACCTGGGGTAGATTCCTGGACCCCTGCAATTTCTGAAAGGCGACTCAGACCCAGACCTGACAGGTATCCATCCACCGATCTGAAAGAACCGCGGAGAGTTTTGAAAAGATTAAGGCAACCCACACCCACCCCTTTGATTCGACTCCAGCTTACTACTTAATGATCAATTTAGCCAGGCATGGATTTCCCTGCGACGCTTGATTCCCTGCAGCTGTGTCAGGGACCCTAGAGGAAAAAGCGCTCCACCTGGATCCAGGGTGTCAGAGCTCAAGACCTAACATTGCCACCTTGCAAACAATCCCTTCTTCGGAGACCTCAGGATTTTAAATATTCTAACCAAATCCAACGTTAATTAAATCCCTTAAAACCTTAGTATTTAATGAGGTTTGCTTCTGTTCTTTTCTTTGGGACAAAGGAGTATGCTGGACCCACCCCTGCCCAAAGCCAAAAGCGGAGCCTGTTCGAGATAAAGAAGTCCCTTAGCTCTTTGCTTGAAGACAGGACTTTCCCAGAAGGGAACAACACCACTGTCCGGGCTTAACCGCCGCGCTCCGGGAGAGCTCACCCGTGGCGTAGCCTCCCTGGTACAATTGTCCCCTCCGCCCAAGGTTGTTCTACTTTGTCCGCGGGGAGGCAGACTGTGAAGGCAGTCAGGGGCCGGGCTCCCTTGCTGTGCTTCCTCTGCAGAAACCATAAAGTGTCCCCAACGCACTAGAAACAATCTTGCCCTGAGTAGCCGGGCGCAATTGAAATAACAAATGCAAGGCACACAAATTGTCCCCCTCCAGTTGCTAAGCGATTGTTTGTCGCCCCGCATGCCCGGCTCAGCATGGGAGGACTACAGCGTCCGGAGACAGCCAGCGAGGCTTCGGTGAGAAATAAGTAAACACGTTGTTGATTTTCTCTATTATCACCCAAACACGATTTCACACAAAGCAATCACCACGCAGAAGTCTATGAAAATGTGTCGGTTGAGGAATCACTCGCCCCGGTAATAGCCCTCATTTTAAAGATATTAAAGACTGGATCAGTGGATTCCACATGCATAAGGTGTATTTGCTGTTAGGCATCTGTCAAAGACCGCTCTTGCGCCACCGTCATTCCGAATTGATTCAGAGCGTAGATTAAATTGCTTTTCTGATTTAAAACATAGAGCTCAAGTTTGGAGTGCGCATCTGGATATCTTCTGAGAGGGCTGTCTCCCCACTATCCTTACACCCCATCGTAGTTTTTCTTTTCCCTGCCCGGGAAAAACGGGCTCCTAGGCCCCATCTTCGGAATATGATGATGATGATGATGATGATGATGATGATGGTTAAATGTATTTTGAGACAGGTTTTTGCTATGTTGTCCTGACTGTCCTAGAACTCACTTTGTAGACCAGGCTGGCCTCAGGGATCCTCCTGTCTCTGCCTCTGGAGTGCATGGGTCACCAACGACCTGCCGGGATTTATTTCTTAACGCTCAATTTCTTGCCTATACATGGGGCAATTTATAATTGGACATTTTGGATAGGGTTTTTAGGTACATGGTTTAGGTAGTAGCTCCTGAGTTATGTGAAAATGCTGATGCATCCTTTTCAGAGTTTTTCAAGGAGGGCACAAGAATAAAGGTAAGAAAATCCCAGAGGCCAACGGAGACCTCCTTCGGTTTCACCAAGCAAATTGGTTTTGCTGTTTGCGTTTGGTTTAAAAAAAGTGTCTCAAAACCAGTTCCCTGTTTCTACTACTCCTTGGAAGATGTCTCAGGGAGCCCCAAGCGATCTTCTTCCCGAGATTGGGACCGTGCAGTTGAGCAAGAAGCTGGGAACCACACTACTGCAGGGCACCACCAGCAAAATGTGGGGTCTGCGGCTTGCGCGATCCTAAGATATTTACTGACTGATTTTTGTTAGAAGCGTTGCAAGTTCAAAATAAAAGTGGCCACTAATCAAAGTGTTAGGAAAGCGCCACTTAATCCTGGGAGAGAAAGGGGTGTCCTCCCAAAATGACGTGTTTCCCAAAGGCCTCGGAAAGAGAAAATAGCATGGGCTTCCCGGGTTGCAGAAATCGGCTTTCAGCTGAGTTATTTACAAAGTTTGTTTCAAAGTGACTGCGCCTTGGCTTTTGTAAATCACAGAATGCAAATGAGGATAATTTGTTCCCAAAGAAACTTTCTCTTGAAATGATTAGCAAAGTCAGTCATTTGAAAATGAGAGCAGCCCCTAGCTAACCCATATCAGCTTCTAACGTTTTCATTCATGTAAACCTCATTAATGAAGATCTTTTATTTAAACGTCAAGGGGATTTGAAATTTAGAGTAAATTATGAAGCTTGTATGTCTAGCCAAGTCATGGGTCAGATGCGTTTGTGAAAAACTGCTAAAAGAGCATATGGTTTTGAATTCTTCTACAATGACTAGTGTTTAAATAAATTGCTTGTACTGCTTAACTTCATGTGTAATTTTGACAGAAATTGGCCTATAGCCTTTTGATATGTAAACATTGCAGCCTTTTATGCGGTATAAAAAAGACACTTGCCTTTTCGGATCAGCTCAGTCAGTCACCCTGTAATTCAGAAAGCTGGCACCTACCATTACGTTCTTGCTGGATTTCAACTTTCAACTGGCAGCCTTGGGGAGGAAAAAAAAATTAAAGAAAAGAAAGAAAGATATTTCAAAAGTAATGTCCATTTGGGATTAAAAGCTGCAGATGAGGTGAGAACACGCCACTTACTATCTGAAAGATGTGGAGAAACCATAGTTATTAAAGAACATTTCTGTCACTCTTCTTTAAGCCAGCCCATCAGAGGGGACACTTAAGCAGGGCTCGGGAATGACTGGTGTGTTATTAAATGCTTGTCTTAGGGCACAGCCAGTCAGTCCAACACAAAAATGGGTGTTAAAAAAATCTAGGTATCATTTCAGGACCTTACCAGCTAAATGGCTCCAATGTCACAGAACCTATTAAAATACAGAAATCAATCTGGGAAGAGAGTCCTCCAAGGCACTAATCTCAGGATGCAAAATGACACATCTGAGGGTGGAGGCTGCTAGTGGAAGCTTCGAATTCCCCTCAGGATACAGGGCAGAGCTCTTTCTGTGACTACTCCGGGGTTTTGAACCACAAGTCTACATGAACCTATTTGTTTCTAATGTATCTCTCCCTCGGAACTGAAGTCTGGAATGTGGATTCCGCTATAGCCAGGAAGAGGGAGACAGAGCAGCTCCCATAGAGCCTGCGAGGGAACTAAGGGCTCTCTGCTCTTGGTCTTGCTTGCATTTTTCTATGTAGTAGGCTTGTTCGGGGTAGCGCTGGCCTTCGGTAGAATTTCAGAAGAAGTGGGGAAGCAGAGAAGTTCAGAGGCCAGGAAGAGCGGTTTCTTTGTGCAAAGGGGGCTGCTCTAGGAAACTGAGACCCCTCTCTAAAAAGACCTTGCTGGCACGAATCTAATTAAGAAAAACTGCTTGGCCAGGGAAGATGGGGGCGGCTCCTTTACCGTTCCCAGGCGTTGCATTCCAATCCAACAACCCAGAAAGCAAAGGACACATTTTAGGACATAAAAAGAAGTTCAAGGCTGTTTTTGTTCTTTGGGCTTTCTGACCATTCTGCATTCCACTCTGTCTAACCTGTCCATCTACTTTCAAACGAATGAAAGTTAAAAAAAACAAAACAAAATAAACAAAACTTTTTTTCTTCTTTTAGCTGTCATTGAAAAGTTCTCAGAAAAACTATTGATTTGCTCATAGAATAGTTCTATAACTTTCAGCTGCTCAACTTGGAGAGAGTTAGCTCCTAAAATTTGTTTGGGATCAGTTAACTGGGAAAAGTTTGTATTTTAGGTAAGAGAAAAGACATCTAATATATTTGAAGTGTACCTTGTGAGGTTACCCCCCGCGCCCCTCTATGTCTCTCCAGGGTTTCTCTGTGTAACCGCCTAGCTGTCCTGGAACCAGCTCTGTAGACCAGGCTGACCTCGAACTCCCAGAGATCTGCCTGCCTCTGCCTCCCTAGTGCTGGGAATAAAGGCATGTACCGACCACCACCTGGCTGACTTTTTATTATTATTATTATTTTAAAGAATGCTGTAAAATAAAACTGAAAACAGTAAGTTTTGCGTGTTTGGGTGACTTGCATGTCTAGAGATGCAGAGTCAGTGAAGGCCTGGATAGCATTGCTGGTGTGTTCACTTTTTCAAAACTAGACATGTTGAAATGGCCACTTCCTTCGACAGTCATTATCTTGCTATTTCCTTTGAAGTAAGGTTTCACCTAGCCAAGGCAGGTCTCAAACTCACTACCTAGCAGAACAGAAGAACTCAAGTGTCTCACCCTCTTGCGTTCACCTCCCAATTGTTTAATTTGTGTGTTGCCATGCTGGCTTTAGGCTGAGCTGGGATGTACCCCAGGGCTGCTTTTGTGCTAGGCCGACAGAGGGCCCACTAAGCTACAACCTCCTCATCTTCCCATCCTGAGATTTAGTTTACACCAAACAATACTGTTGATACTTTTTCAACATCAAAATGAGGAAACCAAAAAGCTGAGTGTGTTCTCACCAGGGACTTTGGGCCACGATCTGCAATAGAGTCTAAACTTCCTTTGGCGGGAGTTTCAAAGGGCCACTGATGGACCTGTGGATGCCTGTCTACTTCCTAGAGAAGCTGAGCATTCAGGAGTAGGACATTTCAGAGGCCATAGGTCCCGTCACAGCCTCCATCCTACCATCACAGGCTTAGGCTGAGC